TTTGAATTTCGCGCATGAAAATACAGCTTTGAGGCCGCACGGGCATCGAAAGGACGTGGCATCGAAAGGACGGCTGTCAGTACGGTTGTACGGCCCTCGACGAGACCGCTGAAGCAGTGATCGACCAAATGGGATAGCTCGGTAGCGGCTTCCAAACCAATCACGCTCGGCTTGGTACTGGCGCAGCTCAGGGACCGTTAGCTCGGTCATGGTGGTAACCCTAATCACGATTAGCTCGGATGGGATTAAGGGGCAATTGAGAGGGGAGATTTGCACCGAACAGTACGGCCGAGCTACAGTAATGCAGGTGTGGCAAGCCTTTCGGTGCCGAGCTATCTCCTCAATCGACACGGCCCTCCGGCCTGTTTTACACGGTTGAGCTAGGTTTGCCGACCAGGCATGCTCTAAGGCCTGGCCGAGTTGTGGCTGTTAGGCGTTCGGCGGTAGGCGCGTGTTAGCACGGCGCGACCGAACAGATGACAGTCCGGAAAGAGTCTAGGCCGGGAAGAGGTCGGCGTGTGCCCGATAGCTCGGCAGCTCGGTCGTGTTCTTTGTGGTTGTGATTTTCTCCCAAGGAATAGGCCGGTCTTGGTATGCCGGTCGGGTGTGTCACTTGAGCCAATGGCGTGAGGGAGAGGATATCTGCTCCAGGCACGCGTCAGTACCGTTTGGCAATCTTGCATGTACTGGATGGAGGATTTGGCCTTTACACGTGTAAGGTGGTGGGAGGCGAGCGCAGCCAACTGTCCAGGGAAGGACAGCAGAGGTAGTGCGCGCACAATCCTGAGGGACTAATTACAAAATACATGTAATTTACCTGCATCACATATATTGAATAAATGATGAATCCTCATGCGAGAAGAACAAGGTGCCAATTGAGAATAAGCATTGATTTGATTTATCTGTCTAATTTTATACTTGGTTAATTAGCAAGTGCTTTTATTACCACACTGACTTATCGTGATAAGATTGGTTGCTTGGTTGCAACTCAAGTTAAAAATAGTTCAAACTTAACTTAAAATTTAAAAGATTTATTTATTTATTTTTTTTTTCAAATTTGATCCCAACCAGGGTGCATTAGCCTTCATAACCATGTCCAATTTGTGTAGCTTAGGAATTGTACTACAATCTCTCTCTCTCTCTCTCTCTCTCTCTCTCTCTCATATGTAGGATTGAAAGAAAATAGTGTGGGTTTTTCTGTTTGGATCAGAGGAAATTGTTCAAAGCTGAAGTTTGGAACTATAACAACTATTGGGAGTCCTTCCAAATGGCAAAACATTGTACAAGCAAATAATTTGAAGAGCAACTACGTAATGTTTCATTAAATTGCTAAGTTTTAGAATATGGAGGATGAGTTCTGGAACTATATTTCTCAATTTTACTTACTTAAAAATGACAATTTTAAACATGAAAAATTCTAAAAATGGTTTGTTTTACAACTCATCAAGAGACTTTGAATAAAGCCAAGTGAAAAGGGCAATTCTTAACATGTTTAAAAGCAAAAGGGAAAGTCTATAGAACCAAAAAATAAATTATAACATGAATTTTACATCAATGGTATACATTTAAAGTAGTTCACGTAAGGCGTCATCTTAATCTTATCCATTGATTTCAAATTTTGTGTTTTTTTTTTTTTTTTTCCCTATTCTCTTCCCCCCCAAGATTAAGGCCTCATCTTAATCTTGTCCAGTGATTTCAAACTCTAGTGTTTTCAAAAACCATATTAATAAACACCTTGATTGTGAAAACTCCAAAACCCTCAAGACTTTCCCCAATCTTCCATCAGAGGAAAGGAAAAAAGAAAAAAAAAGAAAAAAAAGAAAAAAGACCTTGATTGTGCATGTGCTTGATCAAGGGCGGAATTTGAAATTTTATTTACGCTGTGTTTGGTTGGGAGATTTAAGAAAGAATTTAAAAAGAAAAAAAGAAAAAATATATGAAATTATATAAAATGTATATATATTTTATTCATATTTTACTTATTTTTTTTCTTTCAATTTTCAAATTTCTTCACAAATCTCTTAAGTAAATACAGTATTAATGAAACCTCTAAAAGGGATAAACTCCCGGAAGCGTAACACCAGATCATCACTCCACGTCTACCTTCCATTCCACCCAACGGCTCACAATCTTTGTAAAATTACCACAATATCCCCTGGTTGGTAGCCTCACTTCATGAGACACACACCCAGACTGGTATTACCGCCTCCAACCGGTTGCCATTCTCTTCACCATATAAATATAAAAATAATTAATACAAAAAATTACAAACAAATACCTCATGATTTAAGTATTATAATAAAATAAATCATCAATTTTTAATTGTGTCTATTTAAATTATAATCTTTGATTTGTTTTTATTCTAAATTATTTATATATTTTTAGTCAATAAATATGCTCCGTTTGTTTAGACAGGAAATATTTTCCTAATATTTGGTATAACGAAAAATGAAAGTCGATTAATGAAAAATAAGCTATATGGATAGAAAATATTTTTCACTTTGAGAAAGTAAAAAACACTTTTTCAAATTAAAAATTTTCCAATGTCACCACACCACCATTGTTACTCTCACATCCCTTACCACACCACCACCATCGTCGTTATCACTACCGTCGTCGCCCCACCACCATGCTACCACTTTCATCTCCACATTCATTTTACCACCACCAAACATAGTAAAATGTTTTTTTTGAAAAATATTTTTTGAATTTTTTTTTGTTGTAAAATATATTTTCCGCCCAAACAAATGGAGCATACGAAAAATAATATTTTAGACATTTTACATATACCTACATAAATACAATGATTAAAATATTATTTTACTAGTCAATTTTAATTAACAAAAATAAACCAATGATTTAAATTAAAAATAAATCAAAATATTACAATTTAAATTGAAGAAAATTGTTAAAAAGTCTACTCTAAAGAAGATATAAGGCATTAAATTCTCTAGTAGATATTTTTCTTTGGTAAGGAGCCCACCATTTGTAACATATTATGCTTACTACATTTATTGTTTTGGAAGACATTTTGTTTCTTATTTTAACCCTTAATTTTTTTATTGGTTTTTGTTGACCATATGTTTAAATTTATATCTATCTATTTAAATTTTTTTTTCTATCTGTTCAAAATTTTTTCTATCTGTTCAATTTTTTTACCATATCTGTTTAATTTTTTAATCTTTTCAATTCAAATTTCTCTTATGTGTTAGAATATTTGTCCAAATAAAATATATCCGCTGAAATTTATCTGATCAAACTGTTCAAATTATCTGTTGAAATTCTATAATCTTTTTTCTATCTATTGAAAATAAACGGATAGAGGATTCCAAAAGAAGAAGAAATCAACCATATCTGGTCTCCACTCTTTTTCCAAACTAACTAAAAAGAAAATCTCATGGGATTTTATCATCAACAACAACAACAGAACACTTCAATAGACAACCACCACACACAGATATATAACCACAGATAATCACATACAAAAAAAAATAATAATAAAATAAAAAATCAACAGATCTGGACTTCAACAGATAGCAGATCAACTTGTTTCGAATAGAAGATCTAGACTTCAACATATCCAAATCTGGAATCCAACGAAGCCAAGATTAACACTTTTTTTTTTTTTTGACACAACGAAGCCAAGATCAACACAAAAATATACAGAGAGAGAGAGAGAGAGAGAATTCTATGGTTTCTGTAATGAAAAAATAAATAATCACCACACTCAGGTGATTATTTATTCCCCCCTTATCTGTGATCTGTGCTTTGAATGTTCATCAACACAAAGCTCTAACGGTACACAAGCATACAAACACACTAGAGATATATTTTGTTTCTAGAGAGAAAGTGTCATTTATAGAGAGAGAGAAATGAGAGTCAATGGGGGTGTTGGTGCCCTCGTGAAGTCGGAACTGATGTCGTTGAAGACGGCGGAAATGACGGAGAGAGAGAGAGACTTAGACCTGAGGGGAGTGACTTTGAAACTTTGCGAAGTCAGGGAGACTATAATGTGATGAATCGCCACCGGCCCGGAGCGCTTTTGCGCCGTCACCACCGTGACCTTCTTCTCCTCTCTCTATCGCAAATCTCTTTCAGATCTAAAATCGTCGTCGCAGATCTTTGTGGTTTTAGCTTTTGAAGGTAGGGGGAGGTGGACTGGTTGTTCAGCTGATGAGGATTTTGGTTCGTTGAGATCGTCTCTAGTAAGGTAAGGGAGAAACCACCGTCGGCGGCGACGCCATCTGAATCGGGTGGAGGAAGGCGATCGGAGTGGTGTCAGTTTTAGAGAGAGAGATGAAAGAGAAAATAATTGGTTTAGAGAGAGAGAGAGAGAGAGGGGGCTTGTTTGGTTTGTTTTTGAGAGAGTTGTTTTTGAAAAAAAATTTGTGGAAAGAGTTATAAATTTTTTTTGATTTGTTTGGTTGTATATTTTGGGAGAGTTGTTTTTTTGAGATCTTGGAATGATTTGATATTTTAGGAAAATTTGAGTAGATGTGTGAGAGAAAAAATGATTAAAAAAGAGAGAAAAAAAATGATTAATTGAGGTGTAAGATAAAGAGTAATTTTGAAAATTTTTAAAAAAAAACTCAAACAAACAATTTTTAAAATTTTTTTTTTCTAAAACTCATCTCCAAAATAGAAACCAAACATACCCAGAGGGTTTGAAGAAATTGTTTAAAGAGAAGACTCACCCGTTGACAGATATGCATAGAAATAGAAATGGGTATTTTGATCATTTTGTGCTTATCCTTATCAATAATATTTTAGAGCGTGAATTTTGAACAAACAAAATTTAAAGATGAATTTATGAACCGAATATTCTTTATAAATTGATATAATTAAAAATTTAGAATTTATTTTATTATAATAATAATTTTTTATTATTATAATCTATAAAATATTACAAAAACATTATCCACCGGCATTTCCCGGTCACCCCCACACACCACCTTCCCTGCCCCCGTTTCCGTTACAAACCTCCCACTACCCCCCTTATATCCCATTCCCATTCTCTCTCTCCCCTCCTGTGTAGAGAGAGAGAGAGAGAGAGAGGGGGAGAAAATTAGGGTTTTAAGTTCTCTCTTCCTATATCTGTAATTGAGAATAGATATGGCTACTGAAGATCGTGAATTCTCTCACAATCATGCAGAATCAAGCGAAGACATGGCCGAAATGCTCTTCCCTAGGAAACGCTGCTGCTTCTGCATACCTTGCTTCGGCTCCACCAGATCGGCCGCCGTCGGGAGAACCTGGTGGCAGAAAGTTCGGATGGCGGAGAACGAAGAGGGCTGGTTGTCCCGAGGAATCGCCGCCCTGATGAAGGTCCGGGAGTGGTCTGAGATCGTCGCCGGTCCGCGGTGGAAGACTTTCATACGGCGGTTCAATCGGAACAAGAGCGGAGGAAGCAAGCATGCAAACTTCCAATACGATCCTCTCAGTTACGCTCTCAATTTCGACGATGGATCGGCGCAAATCGCCGATTTGGAGGACGAGTACGGGTTTCCGAACTTCTCGTCGAGGTACGCGGCGATCCCGATGACGGCGAAGTCGTCGATGGATTTCGGGAAGGACGCGCCGACTTTTACGTGACGGAGTGCGGCGGCTGCTGCTAATGTGCGCCGGGATGCGTATTGAGGGGAATGTGAGCTTGCTGGTGGTGATGATTGGATGTTGACTTTTCTGACGATAATGCGCATTTTATCACCGGTCATCATAAACGTGCCTCTTTTTTTATTTTATCTTTTTCATTTATATATATATACATATATTAATTATTATAGATATAGATATATATATATATATATATATTGGATTTTTTAGTATTTGGGTTGTGTATAAATAAAGATAATTGATAGCGATATACAAGGTTGCGTGTAGGTTTCTAAGTTGGTTTGAATTTTATTTTTATTATATATTTAGGTTGTTTTTCTTGTTGGTGAATAAAATGATATTTTGATGATATGATGATGATAACAGTGGTTCATAAAATTATCAAAATCTATAATAGCTTTTTCTTATTTCATTATATTAATGTGTGTTTGATTTGAATGATTGACTAGCTAACTTAAAGTTAATTTTGAAATTACTGTAGAATAATTGAATTTTATTCAAGAGGATATATTGATTGGGTTGGGTTTTTGTCATATTTGCATTTCACAATGAGAAAACTTTGGGGGTTCTGAAAGTTATTACGAGTGTCGATTCAATAATCTGAATTATTAATCTGAATTATTATTTTATAGGATGGATAGTTTGATTTCATGAGCATAATATTTTTATTTTATTAAATTTGTTTTTGAAAAAATAAACGATAAATATATTTTTAAAAGTAAATCATTTATTATTTTTTAGACAAATTTAATAAAAAAAGAAAAAGATTACGGTTGTTACTTTGAGCTAATTTTATTTTTTATAGATAATATACATTGATGGTAACACAATAACATTTCAGATTATTTAAAAGAGACATTTATATAGTTTTTATCGACCTTGATAAAACATATGATAGAGTGCATTGAGATATAATATGATGGTTGTTAAAAAAAGAAAGGGAAGACAAAAAGTTATATTGATGTGATTAGGGACATGTATGAAGGAGTGGTGACCAGACAAATGAATTTTCTATCAATGCAAGGTTACACCAAGGATCTACCTTAAATTCTTATTTTTTTTTGCTTTAGTTGCGGATAAGATGACCAGAAATATTCAAACTGGCGTATCATGGTGTATGTTTTTTTGCAGATGATATCATGTTAGTGGATGAAATTAAAGAACAAGTTAACACAAAGTTGGAGATTTGGAGAAAAATTTTTAAATCTAAAGGATTCCAGATAAGCAGAACTAAGATAGAGTACATAGAGTGTAAATTTAGTAACAGTAATAATGAAAGTAAATGAGAAGTGAAGATTGAGAACCAACAACTGCTTAAGAGTGAACATTTTCGTTATTTAAGGTCGATTATCACAATGACAAGGGAGACTAATGCGGATGTGGCCCATAGGATTAAGGCAGGATGACTTAAGTGGAGAAGTGCGCTTGGTGTATTGTGAGATAAACGAATACACACTAAACTAAAAGGTAAGTTCTATAGAATGACTATTAGACTAGCGATATTGTATGGGACGGAGTGTTAGACAACCAAAAAACAACATGTAGATAAGATGAGTGCTGCAGAGATGAGGATGTTAAGGTGGATGTGTGGCAAAACTAGACAAGACAAAATTAGGAAGGAGTGTATTCGAGAATAGGTAGAAGTAGCACAAATAGAAGATAAGTTGAGAGAGAATCGATTGAGATGGTTTGATCATATTCAACGGAGACCAACATAGGCAGTAGTAAAGAGATGCGATGCAGTGGCGGTAGAAGGAAGTGTTAGGAGACCGAGTAGGCCTAAATTAACATTGGCTAGCATTGTAAATAGAGATATGAATCTACTTAATTTGACTAATAAAATGACTTTTGATAGAACTGTGTGAAAAAGGAGTCATATAGCCGACCCCATCTGATGGAACTTAAAATTTCCTTTGGTTATGTATGTTGTAGAAAAGATGAATTAAAAATAGCACTTAACAAGGTGAAAAAATAAAAAAAAAAAAAAAAAAACCTTGTAGACTTGATGTCACAAAAATTAATTTGGCTTAATTGGAATGTTGTGGTGGGTGACAAAGATTAGTACTAACTTGCAAGAAAGGTGAGTCAACACTCGTGTGTTGCCAACTAATGCTTGTTTGGAAAAGAGAGTTTTTGTTATTATTGGTGGCAATTTGCATAGCTTTCTTTAATGGATTTCTGACCGTGTGAATTGTTTATGATAACAATCCCTTTACATGATATCACACTCTTTGGATTATAGAATTGGATGGCTGTTCTGATAATTTTTTAATACAATTATGATTTGATTATGTGATTATTCATGTCTGGTTAATTTAATTTTTTATATTAATGATTTGCTCGATAAATTCTATAAGATGAACAATTTTGAATAATGAAAGTAAATCAAGAGTAATCAAGAGTGAACTGCAAAGAGATTTGGGCTTTCATTTTTTGTGATATGCATGTTCTTGTTTTAGGGTGTTAAAGGGAAGAACTAATTGTGTATTATTGCTCTTAGATCATACACTAATCCATCGATTTTTTAAGTTAAGAAGTGGTTAAGTACAGTTGAAACAACAAACCATGAATGAGTGATTAGTAGACAATCCCACCCTAAGGTAGCCAATGCAACAAATCTTGTGCCAAAATTCCCAACCATATAGGTTACTTGGCTACTACTTACAACAAAATGATTCAAAAGCATACAAAGAGTCGGACCAAAAAAACCAGAGAGTAGGGGCATATTTGCTATAATTTATTCTAACTAAAAGTCGATAATTTATAAATAAAATCCAAAAGCAGCTCTCTCATTTTCAAAATTATTATTTTTACGACAAAAATTGTAAGCAGAAGTTATAGAGAGAAGTCTGTTATGTACTATCTGAGCTAGCATAGTGTATGTTATTACCTTTTAATGGCTCCCTCACTTGTATGTAGGAAGTTCTCACACTAGGGTAAACCAGTCTCGCTACTCACTTCACCATGTAACTTTCACAAGGAGATGGTTAATTAGTGACAAAAAATCCCGACCCGGTCATGCACTATGTTGAAAATAAAACTGTATTCTACAATGTATACAACCTTTGTGTGTTGGGAATAATTGACCCACACAGGTTGATGGAGATATCTACAAAAATATGAGCCACAAGGTTCCGGATATGTAAAATAGAACACTCGTTAATGCTATTTGCTCAGTGGTAGCTCGCTGGAGGGCAACTTCGATAGTTGATTTAGCTATGATTGCTTCAGATAAAGGAAAATCTAGAATCAAGAGAGTATATGTAGAGTTGAGGCATACCAATTTTCCTTTTGTGATCGTCTTTGTTTATATTGACAAGTATCTTGATTCCTAAAATTGTACAAACTCTAATTAGGTCACTGGATGGGCTCAGTTGGACCAGGCCGGCCAATCATGCTAGCTTGGTTGGGTCAAGCCCAGGGCTTTATAAATTTTCCTCCCACACTTCGGTTAATGATTTCAACACTTGAATGTCCATTTGACTCTCTAGATCTTCTTCCCATAAATTCTCTTTTTTTTCTATACCTTCTATTATAAAAAGCTTTGCAACCCAATTTTCGTTGCAAAAGTGGGTTACAGAGGTGAAGGCAGCATGCAACAAAAATGCTTTCAACAGTAACTTGTTAGAATGAATCAAGACAAAAAAGAGAGATGCTAAGAGTATGTGTTGTTACTTTTGAGTATAGCTACACAAAAGGGATTAAATGGCAGAATCTTAGAGAAAGCCTCTATGGATTATCTTCCAAAGTGCTTCAAAGGCACCCAAAGGACCTCTTGGTGGTAGGTCTGTTAACAGACGGACCAGGTATAACCCGAATTCAATCAACCCGACCCAGAAATTAGGTTTAGCCAAGCATGTTCCGTTTAAAATCGGATTTATCCTGGGTATTACCCGATCTGAATGCAGCCGGATCCAACTAGCAAAAGCCACAAGGCTGTAGTCGAGAGACACTGAAGATGTGAATTTGAACACATAGCATCTATAAGTAATTAACTAGGAACAAGATGAGAAAAATAACTATTGTATGAATAGGATTTCATCAATGTATTGCCTAATGGATCGAGCGAATATAATTCTATTGTAATTCACCTGTCATACAATTTCGAGTTCATGAATTACTAACTGGCTTACCAATATTTAAGCACCAAGAGAAGTCTCTGAAGAATTTGGGTACTTGGCCTTCTTTGACCAAAGCCAGATCTTGGAAACAGAGAAGCTCTCACCTCTAGCCCTGCTGGTGATCTTCTGCCCCTCCACATCTCCACTGCGTGCAGAATTCCCACCACCACCACCATCACCGCTAACCAAGGACAGAGCCACCTGCAAGTTTGAATCACCAACTACATATTGCAATGAACCCATTGAATAACATCTTCTTTCATCCAACTTGCAGCCACTACTCTCCCCTTGACATGGCTCTTCATTTTCTCCTCCTAAATTCAAGCTTCTGAACTTGCCAAGCCTCACAGGAAGGACCCTTTTCCCACCAACATTTTCTCGTCTAGCCCCACAAGAAAAATCATTTTTAGCATCACCCAAAAAGCCGCTCAATTGCTCCCTCTCCCTCGACGAATCAAGATTCAAGAATGGGCTCTCCATGGGAAGGCAAGAGCTAACTAGGGTCCCCCTACATAGAGGGCATGTCGAGTTTGATAGAAGCCATGTATCGATACAATTGATGTGAAAAGCATGGCTGCAAATGGGAAGCAATCTGAGCCTGTCTTGGTCTGAAAATTCACACAAACAAATAGCACAATCAAATGGCTCCTTCAAGCCTATAATGTCCTCGTAGAAGAAGACAGGTAGACCATCAATGAGAGTTTGGTCTAGACCTGAGTCGTGTAACCTAAATAGTTGTTGTAACTGTCTTTGGAGAGTATGGGAGCCAGAGGCTTCTGGGTATCGGTTTGATTGAGAGATGGATGAAAAAGGCCGTGTTTTCATGAGAAATCTAACAAGAAGATGAAGAAGGCCATAGATGAAAAAGATGAGTGCTAGAATTACTATAGCTAAAAGAATAGCTGGATTGATTATGCCAGCAGAAGGTCGTGATGCGGTTGATTGTTTTTCAAAATCAGAACTACTTTGAGAAAACGAAAAGGAAGAGAAAGGAGAGAGAGGTTGATGAATCAAAATACCATCTTTTTGCTCAAGTGGGTATAAAATTCTAGCCATTTTTTGAAATGGGTATAAGCTCAAAGGGTCATCTTTTTGCTCCAATTGCTATACAATTCAAGAAATTTTGGAAATGAATATACTCTCAGTCAAAATAGCAAACACCTTGAAGGCAATGCTTTCTTGCTTTGCAAATAAAGAAAACGGAAGTGCTGAAGCTAATGAATACGAGCTTTAATTGGTACTGAGCTATGCAGTGCTCTACAAAACAACAATTATGAAATTGTTTTTCAGATTTGACTTTTGGGTAAAAATAATTGGAACTTTTTGTCTTGATGAAGGCTGAGAACAGAAATATGATGTAATGTGCAAGACATTTAACAGAAAAAGATGACAGAGCATGAATTTCAAGATAAGTTAAAGGTTGCAGGTAACCTACCCCTGATTTTTTTGTAGAATCACACAGATTGCACATATATATATACATAACCAATTGTATTTGGTTGGTGATAATTGGAAATTTGGAGATTATTGTTTTGATATAAAGATTGTGAGCTAACAAAGGTTTAAAGAGAATGATTTGTTTGGTTTGTTGAGGAAGTGCAGGATACTAGTGGAGACAAAGCATCAGGATGATGTTTCAAAAATTGTAGCTTCCACTACTAATATCACTATCCAATGTTTCATTGTCACTTATTAAAGGAAAAGTCTATGGTACCAAAAAATTGATCAGAAAAATATCAAAAATTTTAGATTAATAGTTTAAATTTGAAGTAGTTGTTGCGGGGTCACATATTGAATGAATCTTGATCATAAATGTTAAATTTTTAGTATTTTTCTAGGTTTTTCTTTTGAATTTGTTGCATTCCTGTTAAAAATACCACTCTTGTTGGGATAATATAGATGACACTAATTGCTTGGAGGATTGTAGGTATAGGATTAGGGGCTTCCCTCCCTACCCAAATTTCTGAGTAACGATATTTTTGATAATTTTATATTTATGAGAATAGATTGTTCTATTATATGTAGTTGAGGGGACAATTATCTCTGTATTTCTTATAATTTTTTTAATCATAAAGAAACCTTACTAAACGTAACTTTGGTTTTGAAAGTAAACCACGTAAATCTTGTGTTATTGTGTGCACGTACATTTGATGTTCTTTTTTTTTTTCTTCATATCTCACTAATCTTGACACCTCGTTGATCTTGATTAAGTGTTACGATTTCTCTAACAACTCTATCAATATAATCATGTATTGAAAACACAACTTGAATGGTTTGGATCATCAATACAGGTCTAGTAATTGGCTTTCGGGCCCAAATAACACCCTTCTTCAATCTAAATTATGGAAATTCAACTCTAAAACTAAAAGGTAGTTTGTTTTCTCTAATCAATCACCTACATAATTTCAACATATATATATATATATATATATAATGATACAATCACTATCTAAATCTAACATGATATAGAATTGTAAATATAACATTCTTGATATCTATACTAATATATAAAGTAAAGGTTGGAGTTAGTGTTTATGTCATGGAAATTCTTTTCTGAAAATGCTCCTAAAACTTGATAATAGCTATAAACTCATTTAATTCTCTCCAATTATATCAGATAACTGTTATAACTACCAAATTCAATTACAATTTACACATAGAATGTGCCTTCTTCTAATATATATATATAATGTCAGGAATCCACTCTTATGAAGCCATAAGCTACTCTAAATGTGTTTTTGTGGTTGAGATTAAATTGATGAAATGTGAGGCTCATGAGTAAAATGAATTTGAATCATTGATTTCTTTTTTTAGATAAATCCTGAATTGATAAGAGTGAGTTTATAGTGTTGTATATATATATATATGATATGTGGAGTTGAATATGATTGAGATGAGGAAATGTGTGTTTGGTGGACAAAGCCTAATGGATGGTGGGTCTACAATTGTAATTTCTTTCCTAAGCACGCATGCATGTAATTAGGACTGGGTGAATGTGCCCACTCATGCGGATGATTATAACTAATCATGTTCATGTTTGTAGGGTGGTTTGGTTCCTAATCCCAAGTTTTGTCAATCAAAAAAAATGTATATATATATATATATATTTCTAAGTTTTGATTTGCTTCTTTCTCTTGTTACTAATAGCTTGTAATATACAAAATATATACAACAATCTTGTAATAAATCAATCAATAATACACAATTTATTCTCTCTTTCTCTATCAATTTATCTAACAGTTTACATTATGAATTTATTGGGAAAAAAATTTCAAGAAAAAGGACTAGCAAGAGGAGAAAAAAAAAAAAGACAAAATTTTACTTTACTTTATACACTTCATTTATTATTTTTTTTTCACAAATCCAAAAATTAAACACAATCTAAATATTTCTTAAAGGAAAATATGGCTGTGTGGTAATTCAATTGTGTCTATTACGAAGCCAGTAAAACTAGAAATACTATCGAGTCATATCTCATATTGTATCATTTCAGTTATTCTTCTTTTTTATATTCAAATCTCTCTAATATCTTATTTTAATGCACTTTCAGTTATACAATCATGTAATGAGATGTTCACATCTTGAGATTACTACCATATTATGCGGTTAAGAGTATATTAAAACAAAGAGACAAATTTCTCAATATACTTTCAGTCATACATTCGTGTCTTGAGATTACTATCGCATACTGGTAGTGTAACTCTTATGCTGTGTTTGGTTGGGGGATTTGGGGAGAGATTTGAAAAGAGAAAGGGAAAATGTGTGTGAAACTATGTGAAATATAGGCATGATTTATTCACATTTTACCTACCTTTTCCATTTCTCTTTCCAAATCCCTCCCCAAATCCCCCAACCAAACACAACATTAATGGGACTTAATTTTGTGATCCCAAAACAAGAACAGTGAGAACTCCAACCAATTGGCTTCTTGCTACATTGGAATGTAACTTATTCAATAAACTTGAAAAAATATATCTAATATAAAAATTGTCTTCCATACAAACAAGCAGTAAACCTCTCTCTAATGATTACTATCGCATACTGGCAGTGTAACTCTTAATGGGACTTAATTTTGTGATCCCAAAACAAGAACAGTGAGAACTCCAACCAATTGGCTTCTTGCTACATTGGAATGTAACTTATTCAATAAACTTGAAAAAATATATCTAATATAAAAATTGTCTTCCATACAAACAAGCAGTAAACCTCTCTCTAATTCTATAGCTAGACATAAATAAATTGAGTTGTGCTATATGCGCAGAAGTCATTCATAATATGATTTACAGACTAATACAAGATAATGAGGTACACAAATGGGTTCTACATGTGAGACTCACCTTCTTATATATAATATGTGAATCATTCTGCGAATGAATTCTGTGCAATCAGTTTTACTAAAACAAATTTCATGGACCATCCATCAAATTGTTTGTCTTCTAAATGCTTCATGGTTCAAAGCTTAGGGACTTCTCTTCTTCTTCTTTAATAATGTTTATCATTGTAGCCACTTGATTAATGCATGGCCTCGCATCAGGAGATGGATTTATGCACTTCAAAGCTACCTGCAGCAAATTTACCATTCTCTCCTCGCTCGCGCCTTCTGAGATGAGAGTCCTATCAAAGACTTCAACTGTCCATTCCTCTCTGACCACTGAGTTGACCCAATTAGCCAAATCAAACCCCTTATTCTGGACTAGTTTCCCTGTTAGCATCTCGAGAAGAATCACACCAAAGCCGTAAACATCGACTTTGAAGGTGCTATATGCACAACCGCCATTTGGATTGTTGTGTTTGAAACTATTTTTGGTTTGGGAAAGGAGTGGTGATTGGTCTTGATGATTTTCTACCACCATTAGGCCGTACTCACTAATGCGTGGATACATGTCTTTGTCGAGCAATATGTTGGAGGATTTTAGGTTTCCATGAGCAATCCCATCATCATGAAGCTCGTCGTGCATAAAAGCTAGAGCTTGTGCAGTGATGGCTGCAATTCTGATTCTGCTTCCCCAGTCAAATAATTGGCTATTTTGAGATCCTGGAAAAGATATGCGAAAAACATTTCAGTTGAGTTTAGTAATGCTTCAGTTTTCTATTTTTAGTTTACAGAAAGCAGGAGGAACGTGTTTTCGTTATTTTTGCAAAGATCATTAAAAAAATTGTCTGTGAAAAATAAAAGTTTGGAAAAGATGTGAAAACAAAAATAAGAATCATGCTTAGACAATGTAATCAATATACTGTCTCTACCCCTATTTCCCTTATCAACAATCATAATGCTTGAACCATGAAATCAAAGAATTGTTACCAGGCTAGGAAATGGTCAGCCTGCTATGGACCCCAATATGAATGTGGGTTTGGGAAAAAATATCAACTGAATTGACTGATTGTGAATTCTTTAACCTACCGACAACTCGCTCATTTTTAAAATGGGTAAGTTGGTTGAATATCTTGAGGGTTTTAAATTAGCAGTTTGAGCAGATTGGATGGGTTAACATGCAGAATATGGGAAAAAACAAAATAAATAAATAAAAGATTACCTCAAATTTTAATTTTCAACCAAAACAATTAAATCTTTTTTAAAAAATATGATAAAAAATGAGAGACTTGTTATTTGATTAATGGTAGAAGAGTTTGGTCGTTTTGCAAGTGAATTGCTAATTTTTAAAAAGCAAGCCAACCAATCCATTGAATTTACTATCTAACCTCCCCAATCCAACCTGCTCACTATCTCTGAAACCTTACGAGTTAGTTTGAGTAGAGCCGGGTTGGGTATTTGGCCCTTTTTTTTGCACACTCCTAATTAAGCTTAAGAGTTTTTTGCCCTATCCAAACCCTACTCTAGCAGGAGTGTCGTACACTAAAAGTTGCTGTATTTTAGATTCCACAAAGAAATAGCTTCCTTGTGGGAACACTTTTATGTTCATCCATGAACCGCAATACCCATGGACATATACCATAAGGCTGTATTTGGATCATAGATTTGAATAGAATTTGAAGAAAAAAAAAGTGAAAAGGTGAGCAAAATGTGAATGCAATATAAGTTAATTATTATTTTTTTTCATTTTTCTTTCCCTTTTCAAATCTCTATTTAAATTTATGATTCAAACACAACTTAAGAATTCATAAGAATAGGAATAGCAAGAATGAAATTTACCATGAAGAAGGTTGAAGAGGCTGCCATTCTGCTGAAATTCATAAACCAACAACCTCTCTTGCTTTGAACAATAATAAGCCGAGGCATGCAACACATTTGGGTGCTTCACTTGGTCTATCCTCTCCATCCTCATCTTGAAATCCTCCTTTTGAATCCCGCAATCTTTGATCCTCTTCACAGCCAATGTCACCCCACCATCAAGCATGACCTTATACAAGCTTCCATGTTTCCCTCTCCCAACCAACTCAGCTGGGGCTTGAAGCAATTCCTCAAACTTCAAACCGTTCACCACTGGACTCGAAAGAACCACAAGAGGAGATGCAGCTGCCCCGTTTTCAAAAGATGTTATCGAATACTCCGACCTATATGCAAACTCTCCGGTCTTGGACTCGCTCGATGTACCACTAATCTTGTTGTCACTATTATCTTGTAATTCTCTCCCCTCTTCAGCACCAGTCTTGTCAACCACGTGCCTTTTTTTCTTGGACAACTTGAGGGCAACAGTGACCACAACAACAAAGAATCCAATTATAGCATAGCCTGAGTAGACACGTAACTGTTTGGTTGAGAATTTTTTCGCCGGTGGAGACAGTGGACATAGGTCTGACAATGGTAATCCACATAATCCAGGATTACCCAAAAAGCTACTTGTGTTGAAACGACCTTTGACATCAGGAATTGCACCGCTAAAATTGTTGTTGGAGACATTGAACTGGGCTAGATTTGAGAAGTCAAATTTTGGTATTTCACCACTTAACTGATTGTCCTGGACAAGAAAAGATAGCATGCCAGAGACTTTGGAGAGATTAGGAGGGACCTGACCGGATAAGCCATTTTTAGAAAAATCGAGCCTTTTTAAGTTACTTAATTGGGGGAGACTGACCGGAAGATTGCCTGAGAAGCGATTCCCACTTAGGTATAAGTGGGTTAGATTTTGGCAATTCGATATCTCATTTGGGATGTGTCCACCAATATCGTTGTCATTTAGGCTCAGGACGAGAAGAGAGCTAGTTGTGCAAAGAGAAAGGGCATCAAGAACTCCGGTTAGATTGCGCTCATCAAGAACTATCTTTTTCACAGATTGTGACTGGCTATCACAGGTAACACCTTGCCATTTGCCGGAGCAAGGGTCTGTTTTCACATCCCAACCGAAAGTTTGACCTATTACTGTGTTCCCGGGAGCGAGTTTTTCCATGAAGCGGACTAGCGCCTGCTTCACTTCTTCTTCCTCAGAACGCGCCATCACAAAAAGAAACAACAAAACTGAGACTAACACGCAGGTGGGTAGCACTCGATCCATCATTTCTCACAAATGTCAGTGTAATTTGCTGCTAACCCTTTTCATAAAGTTGGCTTTTGGGATATTAGTGATGGGCAATATTGAAAATGTTTGCTCAAGTTCATATTAGAATGCCAAATGGCTGAATTTATAATCACTGTTTTGTTGGGATGTCAATGGGATTGCCAAATGAGACTTAAGGACTAACTAAAAAGCTGACAAGGCGGGGATTAAAGTATTGAAAGCCGGCATAGAAATGGTCAGTTTGTGAATGTCGTTTTGTTTCTCAGTTGGATTTCTCACCAGATTCAGTGCTTTGATGTTGTAGTAATGTTATTGTAATCTATTGTGTTTGTTAGTATTTGAAGAGATGATACATGATACTGATTAATATACGTGACTAGAGGACACAATGGATGGTTCAGATTTGTTCTTAAGAGTTTTGTACACACTGTTCACAATTGATTGGTTTAGTTTTAAGGTGTGTATGGTGCGGTTCAAGCAGTTTGAGAGTAAGATTATAAATTAAATGTGCATTGACAAATAATCAAACCGTGGTTTGGACGGTTTCAATTTGCTAGTTAATTGAAGAATATTTTTAAACAATTATCAAGTATTTACATACAATATAATACAAATTTGCATAATATATAACACTAATTTATATAATATTTTTCATATATATAACTATTAATTTGCAACAAATTTCACATCTTAAATCTCTCTCACACTCATTTTTACTTTGATATTTCATTAGATATTAAAAAAAATATATGTATTAATTATAGCGGAGCGGAGTGGTTTCGAAAGCGAATTATAAATTTTAAAGTTTAATTTGAGATTAGTGGATAGATTAGTGTGATTTTAATAGATTGGACGGTATTTTGTACAATCCTAATTACGTGTACAAACAAGTTGTATAAAAATGTACATAGAACAGAGAAAAAGGATGGGCACCATAATTTTATAGGCTCTCACCGGACTGAGATCCTCTCTTCAATAATGATACAGACCCCCACTACTTTACACACACGTGAATGTTAGTGATTGGAAAAGAAAAAAAAAAATTGGCTAATGACCGCCCATTGGGGGTCTCCCCTAATGGGGTCCCAAGCATTATACTCCTCTCTATTATATCATCTAATGATTGTGGAACAATCATAAAAATTAATAACTACTTTTAATTTAGAATTTCCATTACAACTTTGGAATGATGAGGATCACAATCTGCCTTGACCAGTAATATTACAAATTCAAAAATTTTATCCAAAAAAATACTCAAAAGCTTCAATACCTAGTCAAGTTCATTCTACATAATCTAGATTATATTCCATGCCACATTTTTTTGGGGGGCCATTATAGGGGGAACGAAAAATTTCATCAAATCTAGCACAAATTCAAAAAATTTATGGAGTATTTACTTGTAAGTTTTAATAGGTGAATTTATTATTTAATAGATCATGTGATAAATTAATAACATCTCTCATTAAACACTATTAAAAAAAGTCACTAATTATTAATTTTCAGCAACAATTTAAAATTTTTATCACAAAAAAGTCACTAATTAAAGTTTTAGCGACAATTTAAAAAAATTGTCACAAAAATATCACCAATTTTTAATTTTCAGCGACAATTCAAAAAATTCATCACGAAAAAATGTCACTAATTGTAAATTTTAACGACAATTTATGAAAATCGTGATAAAAAATCACTAATTGTTAATTTTTTTAGCAACATGTAAAAAATCATCACAAAAATTAATTTTAACAACAATTTTACTATAACTAACTTTCAATTAGACTTTATAAAAATTAAATCTAACTATTAATACCTATAAATAGTTTATCCAAAATTCATCCAGAAACATACTCATGATACATAATCTAGATTATATGCCATGCCACATTTTTTTTTTTGGGGGGGGGGGGGGTGGGGGGTACAGACAATAAAAATTTCATCGAGAAATTTATCACCAAAAGCACAAATTAGGTGGGCCACTTCATTTTAAAAATAAATAAATAAAAAATAACAAGCATGTCACCAAACTTCCCCTTTTTGGGCACAAATTTTCTGTGCAAAAGTCTTCCTTTTGTGATCAATAGAAGGGATAGTTAACCCCTATGACTTCTAACCCTGAAAGAATTTTCATCGTTGCCTACACGTTCCATGTGATTGTTGAGATAGAAAGTCCCAACCAAGAAAAGAAAAGGAGCCTTAATTATAATCCAATAAATTTTACCGCACTGCATAGTAGATGACATGCAACTTTTTATAACTTTGCCCCCAAAACATAAACTTGGGTTTTCATTGAACACATTAATTTGATTCAATATTTCCACCATTAGAATAAAATTTTCTCGAATTCTTGATTAGATTTTATATTCAATAAACAAATGACGGCATTTCAGCAAAACTTTGTACACAAAATGTTCTGTCTTCCAAGAAATTGTTCAGTCATTCACACAACAGAAAAAGATAAATGAAACTAGAAAAAAAAAACAAAAAATACAAAGACATGGTCACAATATTCACTAGATCGATGAACAGATCATAATTCTCGAATGATCCAAGTTCAATAAAGACACAAATCTATAAAGTATATTCCATGTTCACAACTACAATCTGCTTAAGCAACGTAATCTCACAGCTCATGATTTCAAGACAATTAAATACAAGAAACAAAGAAATCCTTCATAAAACTGGCTTCTCACCAATGTTGTGAAAGTTCCAAAGGACACCTCACCTGAGCCCGCCCGACTTGCCAAACTTTTACTCGACTCAAGCCCTCACGCAGGCTAGCCAAGCCTCAATAAAGTTTGGGTTGGGCTTGGACCTAGGTGTTGAAGTCCAGTTCAACCCTTTGACCTGTGAGAGAAAATCTGCCAACACGTTAGCCCATCTAGGCAAAACCCGTTGGACAAGACTTGGGCCTAAGATTCCTAGCCTTGGGCCAACCTAGCCTGTTAAAAACAAAAACTCACCAGGCTTACCCCTAGACAAGCTTGGACATCATTTTGCAAGTCAGCTGGCCTATATTTGCTGACAAGCCAAAACCATCTCTTCCGACGAGCTCAAAAAAGAAAGAAAAAGAAAATGAATAAAGAAAAAGGCAACAAGTTAAGGATCACCAGATTTAGATCCTCGATCCTCCCATGCTCCCACATGGAGCCCACAAAAATAGACGATTGTGATGCATTTGTGGCATTACCATTGACAACAGTGAATAATTGTCGATTTTTAAGTAAATATACTTTACACCCCCAACACCTAGTGAGAAGACAATATCTTCAAAACTACCAATAACTTCTTTAATTTTCTCCAAGGTTTATATAACTTCGATGACTAGTATATCTAATATAAGCTTAAAAAGGAAAGAAAATCAAAATTTGGGGGCAAATAGGGAGACCGAGGTGGAAGACTACGTAATACACACCCGCTAATGACGTGCTCATGACTTGAGATCATCGGACATGGCAGAAGGTATACAATGCGTTGCGAGGATGTCTAGTGTTGCTGCTTTGGCTGCCTTTGTTCGAAGGACCACTATCTGCATACAACACAACACACACACGAATAAGCAAGGCAATTTCGAAGCAGTCTTGCCGACTCAAATGCACTAAGAGTGAGGTTGAGATACTACCTGTTGGTATTCCAAATCAAATTTCAAAAACTCATCGTCACAGCTCTCGACCATGCTGGCCAAACTTTTCAGATTCTTCACAGGCTTACCATTACAAGCACGAACCTATACACGTACACAAAAGGGGAAGAAAAAAAAAGAAGAGCATTTAGAAACATGGTTGTCAAATCACAAATCGTAAGGTTCACTTTATTTAGCATAGTTTTGTATCTGTACATACATATAAAAATACATGTGTTTAAAATGAAATAAATATCAATATAACTAAATTGTATGCACGTATATACCTATAAAACTGAAGTAAATCAATATAATTAATGGATCAGTTTTTTTATTTTGCGAAAATGACGGTATTTCATGCATTATGCAAACAAAATAATTACAGTGAATCATAGTGAATCGCAATTGAATCATACGATTCACTAAATTTAAGATTCAACAACACAATTTGAATCGTGAATCACATGATAGTAACAACCATCTTTAGCAATTGCAGATTCAAAGTATTCATTACGAGCATTTAAAAACATTTGCATCCATTAGCAATTCCTGACCTGAGTGTTGACAATTTCCTCATATCCAATGTTGATGTCGGCCACAAGAACCTTTTATAAATTCGACAAGAAGAAATGTCAATACAAATGTGCACACTACTTATGTCATAACATCGGAGGTACATAAGCATAAAAGAGAACCTGAGAAATCACAACAAGCTGCTCATCTGGTGATTGGGGCATTTCGTGCATTAGTTTGTCCAACAGCTTGACAGGAGCATCATATTCATAATCTTTACCATACTGCCAACAAGATGCAGAAAAGATTTAAGACAATGTATAATAACGATAAACCTCTGAAAAACAGTTTGTAACTCATTAGCAACTATAGAATAAACTGATAGATTGTGTGAATGCTCGCGCAAGTCTTTTCTTAGATGGCATTAACACATAGTAAATATGAATGTAGCTAGAAGTAGCAAAATTATATACATAATATAAGAAACTTTATGTAATTTGTGACCAAGGTTCTGAAAAGCGGTTGCGGTCGCCGTAACGGTGGCGGTGACGCGGTTGCAGTTGCGGGGTGTAAAGGCCGTAGTGTAACGGTTGCGGTAACCGGAACCGTGAATTTTTTTATTTTTCGCACAATTTGAAAAAAACTTACCGATACGCATATTTTTTTTCCATGATCATATTTATTGGGTTAAAAATAAATATTGATCAATTTTTGTAAATTTTTAAGTATGATCCAATATATTTCATATTTTTAAATCACTATAAACTGAGTTTTTTACATTTTATTTTAATAATTAATGACTTTATATTTTACAAAAAATCAATCACTAACTATTATATATATATATACATATTTTAACCAAGCCAAATAGATAATGACCACACTTCTTATTATTATTATTATTTTCAAACAATATATAGATATACACACACAAACAAAATGGTTTAGTGATAGCAACTGAATAGAATAGCATAGGTCTTATAGTTTCAAAAAATCAATAACATATTCTTAATCTTCCCTCTTCTCTCTCTCTCTCTCTCTCTATATCTCTTGCTCCTCCATTTTCTCTCTTTATCTTCCCTCTTCTCTCTATCCTTATTCCCCCACTTTCAGCTTTTTTTTGTGTGTTTTTTCGAAAGAAACAGTTTGGAACTGTTACGTAACGGTGCGTAACAGGCCGTTACGGCTGTTACGGCACCGTTACGACCGCTACGACAGCCGCTACAGCCTACACACCTGTGAATCTCAATCACACTGCAAAAGCGGCCGTAACGGGTGGCGGTAACCGCCAAAACCGTTACGTAACGGCGTTACGTAACGGTTGCGGCCGCTTTTTAAAACCTTGTTTGTGACTTGTCACTGCTCTAACATCACCTTCTTATCTGATACATTCATCATTTCAGAAAATTCTTCATTCCAGTAATGCTTCAGGTTAGCATTCGTGGAGGGTTTGACTGAATGGTTAGAGGTTAATCACAGCATGAAAAACACATCAGAGGCATTAGAAACAAAGGGCATGATTGGGAGAGTAATGGACAATCTAGCTGAGAGAGAGCAGTTTGGATGTCAAGTTGGCAAGGCTTCATAAAAACAAAGTCTTAGGACTTAGGCATATACCAAGATGCCGCAATTACTTTGATCTTATTCAGTTAAGGTAGAACATATATGTGTCCTTCTAAAGCTAACACATGTAGATCTTTATTCCGATGTTGAAGGCATATGTCACTGCCTACATGTCTATGACGTGTGGTGGTAAAAAGGGTATCTACATTTGCTCCACTACATGCGTGTAGTGTGGAGACACATGTAGACGATATGCAAGAGCTATCTTGGTTTCAAGTGTTGTTTGAGCATTTGAAAGTAAATAGGAAGAGAGAAACACAAAAGATGAAATATAATACCGCAAAGACCTTAAAAGGATTATTTGAAACTTTCTTTTAACCAAAAACAAAAAGGACAAAAAATCGAATTAGCAAATCGAAAGTGAATCGATCGATTCATGATTCACTGATTCATCCACAATTCAGCGCTTAGATCTCACACCAGATTTCACAAAAAATCCCAAACAAGGAATATAACATAGATAATAGTCATATTTCTCATGAGAAATTAAACAAGAGACACTGAACTTAAAGTAAGAACTCAAGTTCAGTTTGTCTGCTAAAGAAGGAGCTCAAACAAGCCTTTAACAGAGCTGAGTTCAAGTTGATCATGAACAACTCACTTTATCTACAACCCTATGCTATCACAAAATTGGGACATGAGGCCTGTTTTCCAAGAAAGATGACTTTTACATTCAAAGTAATAACTTGTGGAAGTCCTTGAATTAATATCTTCTTGAGATTCATATAACTACAAGAAATTAGATCATCTCTTAAAGCAATGCATCTAATCAAACATGGAGTAAGCTCCGCATATCTTCTCTGAACGCCATGATGGTCCATGCATAGTCTCCAAAAAATTGCATCAATTACTCCTTGATAATTTCTCTTGGCTATAAATTTTATTTACTTTTGGAATGAAAACTTCCGGTGATCACCAACTTACAAAGTAAACAGATGCTTTTGGCTACCCGACATCAACAGAACTGAAGAATTGCATTTGAAACATAATAAACATATCAATGATACAGAAGTGTGAAAATCATGCATGCACAAAAGCTTCAAAGTGAAATACTTACCTCAGAACGCAGATATGGAACAGACACAGTAGTAAAAACAAGTCCTGCAATAATGTAATATGAGGGAGGTTTGCCCTTGTTGTGTGCTGGAATGAGCCTTTTGTGACTCTGAAGTTTGACATTAAATTCGAAAGCTTCAGAATTGCGAAGAACTTTAACTGTTGCAATATCTCCAGTATATTTTTGGGATATAAGGTAACTAAAACCAATGCGCTCCCCATGCCTAAAAGGAACTGAAGAATAAAAATAAAGAAGAAGAAGAATAAAGAAGAAGAAGAAGAAGAAGAAGAAGAAGAAGAAGAAGAAGAAGAAGAAAGTCAATCCTACAGCCAAGGAGCAAATCACAACATAGAGGAAGAATAGCTTGAATATGACAATCTCCAATGTAAGTGTTACATATTAACATTTTGATGATTATGACAACATATGGCTGTAGGAAGAATCTTTTTCATTGTGTTTTTAACAATCCATAAGAGGGGAATAAGGGAAGGGTAAGCTTCATCACACAATGGTGAGACTCGAAACTAGGCACCATGCTCGGCAAGGGACCACCTCATTCCACCAAGCCAACACCTTGGTCTCTTTCCTTGTTTTCATTAAGTAACATAATGGCATGGAAAAAAAAAAGAAAAAAAGAAAAAAGGAGCACACCTTTAAAAAAATAAATACACCATGCAAAAATAAATTCAGCAATTAAACACAACTCAGTCCAAAATTTCCAGTCTACAAACACACTTCCAACAAATCCAGTGACAGCATAACAAGAAGTCAACAGAACAAAATAAGACACTTACATCTCATTAAGAAAGCTACAGCATTCAATTCTATAATTTAAAAAAAAAAAGAAAAGAAGAAGTATAAATATGGGATCATATCCCCCACCGTGCCAAGTGCAAATTAAGATTACTCCTAAAGCTCCACATTAATTTGAATTTTGCGTAAAATGAACTACCAATAGTTCAAAGTTGAAACATGTCTTGATGAGTAGTTTCAACTATTGGATAAGCTACGTATCCCACAATGGATATTGATTATAATTTTTCTAAGCTATTACATCAACAGACCAAGGTTTTAAATCACAACTGCAAATCCATTCCATTCATGGTACCAGTGACACACATGTAGGAGTGACAAACATTACAGAAATCAACCTAGATACCAGCGCAATACTTTTTTCTTATTGCACAGCTTCAGATAGTCGGGATACATATATTTGAACCTCATAATCCTGTAAACTAATTTTATTGATGTTTCTTAGTCAATTTTTCCAAGCAATAAAGAATTAAGCAAGACAAAGGACATCAATAAGGAATGATAATTTAATATTTCATCAAAATACAAAAATGAGAAATAAAAAATAAATAACAAAAAGTTCTTTTTCTTATTTTCCGAGGGCTGGGGGCGGCAAGACACCATTACCTGTCCCATCATTTGCAATATCAACCCCATCAAAGCTGAGTATAATATCTGATGGCTTCAGGACTGCAGATTCTGGAGCAGTAGGGTCAACTCTTCTTATGCGAACACCCTTCTGATCAGGTCTCATCCCCATTGACATACGCATATCAGGATTTTCCATCTTCTGCCACTCAACCCCAAGTATTGGAAATCCTAACAAATAACATATAATAATCACAATACAGCCACCAGCTTGTTCCGTAATTAAGAAAAGAAACAGGAAAAAAGTGACTTCTTACAACAAAGAACAACATCTGGAATAGACAAGACAAGACTGTTATTACCATAGACATGGAAGTAAAATATGATAAAACCATATGCTCCTCACTCAACAACCTATAAAAATAGGAGCAAATGCAAAAACATGCAGAGTGATAATAGATTGGCCCTCTATCAGTTATATTGCTATTATAGAAGGGCATTATACACATATATCTTCACCTATATGTGATATAAAGTTCAGGATAAGATGACTGAAAGCGAACTGTTCCACTTTTCCATTCCTATCTTCTTCTTTCTTTCTAATTCACATTAATTTTTAGCCATTTGGAGCCCATAACCAAAATCTATTCTTCTAATTGGTACCAGGCACTAAGTCACAAAATCTACCCAGTTGCATTCTAATTAATAATGTTCCATGTGCTGATTGGGGCAACAAGTATTCCCTGCACGCATGCCAGCTGAGAATCCACAATCTGCAAAATAAAAAAAAACTCAAGTCTGCACACTCAGTATCTACACTCTCTCCCTTCCAGTGCTGATAATCTCATGTGTTTTCTGCACAAGCTACTTCCAAAAACTTCCCTTTGAGATCAAATTTCTGCAGGTAGTAGTTGATTAACAGTAGAAGAAGAGCAGCATAAGGCTTATTTGACAGCAAAGCAGCTTAAGCTGCTGAAACAAGGCATGGGTTCTCTATCTGTGTGTGCATGCGCACGCATGTGTTATGTCCATTGGTCAAATACACCACACCTTCCATCCCTATTTGACTTCACTTATTTTGCACTTTGAGGAATTTGTTGCATTTACCCAGATAAATTTTCTTCATGGTTATGCATAGCACCAAATTTTGTCGTTCCTTCATCATTTATCCTAATGAAACTGAACAATACAGAAAAACAATATTACAATATAAGAGCACAGAGCAGCATATCTATTTCCACATTTTTGCTATCTTGGAGAGCATCAACACCAAAAACACAACTCCAGCAGTCTCAATCACCAGCAGCTATTTTAGCTGAGTGCTACAGTGCCTAGACATATTTAACTAGTGGATCACTGGCCAACCAGTTGTTGGAACCTCTAAACCAACTACATCTCATAGTCCACATTATCATCCATTCCTTTTTTTTCTAATTTACCTTTTCTCCCTTTAAAACCATTAGTTCTGTATTTATACCATTTAGTCAACAAGTGACTGATATACCAATATGCTAAGCTATAAAAACCAGACCCCTAGCACAAAATAATCAAAAGTTGCAAATTAACATACCAGTATATGCTCCATTCTTCTCGTAATCCTGAATGAAGTGCATGATAACTGGTGTTGGTATGACATAACCAATATTCTCCACGTCTTCATGTTTAAGGGACTGAAATGCAATACCAACACAATTGCCCTTGTCATTGAAGGCAGGCCCACCAGAATTACCCGAGTTTATAGCAGCATCTATCTGCAAATGAATCGTGTCCAAGAGACATCAAGATTGGATAATGGGAGAGCAATGAATACAATGAAATAGGCACGATTGGCCCCAACCTGCAACCCTAGAAGCTCAGTGGATCCATGAACATAAGAAAGAATCTCTATGCGTGAAACAACCCCACTTGTTACAGATATTGTGTCTCCCCCAATTGGGTATCCCACAACTGTCACCGCAACTTGAAGTGCAGGCAAATCCCCAAACTGTACAGGTGACACCCCTTCCCAAAATTCATCATTCTCTACAGTAAGCATAGCTGCAAAATCACATACACTAAATGCACATTAACAAAAAAAAAGCTGCATCGTTTCAATTTGCATAATTAAAAATGATTATCAACAACGTAAGTGCAACTAAAAGCAACAGTTACAAGAACTAGACAAAGCAGTCCATCTTTCCAAACTCATCATCATTACAGTAAGCATAGTGATAATGTCATATAATCAATAAATGCCTTTAAAAAAAGGAAGTTTAATTTCACTTTTATCTCCTTACTATCACAATTTTGTCTATTTCATCCACAAACTATTTATTTCATCAAGTCTCTAAAGTTTCAAATTTCATCTAACATGGTCCAATTGGAGATAACTGTCCAAATCAGTAACCGTTAAAAGCCTAATTTGATGGGGAAAATGTCATTTCAAAACTTGAACCTCAATTTTTTATTTTATTTTTTTATTCACTACTTGGAAATGAGGGGTGAAAAAGAAGGGTGTTTGGTTTTAGAGTGTAAATCATCTAATCTAGTGTGGGCAAAAAGATGAGTGTTTGGTTATATGATTTAAGCTGTCCAAATTGTAAAATTACATTTTAACCCAATAGGTTAGGTTTCCGCCAGATTTGGACAAACTGTCTTCAACTACCATATGAGCTGAAATGGGAAATTAAGAACTAAATAGATGAAATTGATTATAGTCTAGGGATGGAACAGACAAAATGACAATAGTTTAAGGGGGAAAAAAAAGTAAAATTAACTCAAAAAGGAATTTCGAAGGAATTCCCACGATCATAATCTACAGAATTTCATTGAACTATAAACATTTTCTATAAAATATACGAATTGACACAAACAAATTTATACGAAAGCACATGATCACAAGCAAATTCTTCCCAAAAAAATTTTCCAATACAGAGAAGCTGAAATTCTCACCAATGTCACATTCAGTTCCAATCGCGAGTACAGTGGCCACATACTTCGTATCAGACCCACGCTTCTTCAACTTCACCTGCGTATAATGTTCCACGGAATGCGCATTCGTCAAAACTCTCCGCCCACCAATCACAAACCCACTACTACTCGAGCTGTACTGCCTCTTCCTCTGCCATGGCAGCGAGAAATTGGGCTCGGTATGAGTACAGAACACCTTCACGACGGCATCCATCGACGGCAAAGCCCTAGCCACCGATTCACTCTCCCACCTAGCCGCCACGGCCGCCGGAGCGTCAACTGAAGCCGAATTATGGACCACGATTGTGCCATTGTTGTCGATTCGTCTAGCCGGAGAGGTTGCTAGGGTTTTTTCAGGCTTGTCGGAGTGTTCGGGTAGTTTGCGGGGGCGGCCGCGGCGGCTGTGGATGGGGGCGGGGTTGTCGATGAGCTCAACGTTTCCGACGGAGAAGACGACGCCGTCATCGGCGGCGGCGGCGGCGGTTTGGAAATCTAGGGTTTCGGCTACTTGGGGTTTGGCCTTTCGGCCTCGCTTGCGCTTGTTGTCTCCCATCTGTATAATGAGAACGCTCCCAGAGAGGGACAGGTACTTAAAAAAATATTTAATTACACGTACACTTATGCTTAAAATATAAATTAATTATTACTATCCTTTTAAAAAAAAATTGGTGAAACCCCAACTTTGTGAACCATGGGAGATTCATAATATATATATCTATATATATATATATATATTTTGGTTAGTTAAGGTTCTTGAATTGTATTTTATGTTTGTAAATACCTAATATATCCTCTTGTATAAGGTACGATGATTTAGATTTTAGAAAATTAAAAAATTTTATTGCTATTTTGTAGGAGATTACGTAGGGATTTCAAATTTGATGGAGATTGCTCTGATCGACGAGGTGTTGCAGTGGAGTTGATTTTGTTGGAGATTACTCTCATTGTCAAGGTGTTGCGTAGGTTTTTGAGTGTATTTTAAATTAGATTTTTGTTTTGATTGTGTTCGTTGTTCTAGTGGAGTTCATTTCAATGTGTTTTGATTGTGTTCGTTGCAGTGGAGTTGATTTCTGTTTCGTGGAGGTGTGTGCCGTGGAGTTGATTTTTGTTTGTGACGGTGTTGCATTGTTTTGCTTTGATTGATTTTGATTTGCATTGGAGTTGAATCAAGAATGTCTTTTCAATTACTAAGTTGTTGTTTTTGATTGTTCGTTCTCTATTATTGATGAATCAGGAGTTGCATTGTTCCTTCTCTGTTATTGTTCGTTCTATGTTATTGCTTCTAGTAGAGAGTTTAACATGCTTATCATTTATAAGTTTGTAAATTGCTCTGGTCTTTTTATTTGTAGTTTAGAGAAAATTATAAATTTGTTATTATAATCGAGAGAAAATTAGAATTTTATATGGGCATGTAATTAAAAGTTTGTTATTTTTTATTTTTTATTTTCTCTAGATTAGATACATGAATTCGGAAGTTAATTGAATGTTTTGTGAGCAAATTAGATTTGCTCTGTGTTTTTGTGGGATAGTTAGAATTTTGTGTTTTTGATGTGAATGTGTTTTTGTGATTTTCAAAATGAATTTTAGTTTGAAAGTTTCTCTAGACTTTTATTTGTAATCTAGAGAAATTTATAGGTTTGTTATTGTATTCCAAAGAAAATTAGGGTAGCTTTTGGTAGAGTTTTAAAACTATGATTTGAGAATAGAGTTGTATTTTGAGTTTATAAGTTTTAAAATTATGATTTAAGTTTGAAAAATTTGTTTGGTTATGAGTTTTGAAAAGAGTTTTGAATTAAGTTTGAAACTTTTGATGTGGCATATGATATTTGATTCAAAAACTTACATCTCATAACTAAACACACAACCCAAAATTCTATTGAAAGCTCATAAGAAATTTTAAAAAAAAATTCTAAAAATATTTTTTTATTTAAAATATAAAAATAACAGGTGCCAAAAAAAAAAAAATTCCGAACACTATTTTGGTCAACTGGCCGGAGTCCGGGGAGACGTCTGGGAGGATAACCGAGTAGACGTGTTTTCAAGAGAGGATGTGGAATCAATTTTTGAAAACTGTAACTAAGCACTACACTCAAACCAAGGAGTGAAATTAAAATAGAGCCTAGAATTTTATATCTCCATATTATTATGAGTTTGTTATTTTTGTTTTTTAATTTTATCTGGATTAGATATAGGGATTCAGAAATGAATTGAATGCTTTGTGAGTAAATCACATTTGTTGTGTGATTTTCCTTATGCTTTTGTTTAATAGTTAGCATTTTGTGTTTTGATGTGAATGTATTTTTATTTTTGTGATCTTCAAAATGAATTTAAGTTTGGAAATTTCTCTGGATTTTTATTTTTAGTTTAGAGAAAATTATAAGTTCATTATTGGATTTCAGAGAAAATTAGAATTTTATATTTACATGTTATTATAAGTTTGTAAATTTATGTATATTGAACACGTTATTTTTTGTATTTTTTTGCAATTTTGATAGATAGAGCAGTGTTGTTGCTGTGCAAATATGGAAATGATACTATTATCATTAATGTTTCATGTGAATTGAACTTTGAAGAATTGGTTGGATTTTGTGTAAAATATGGGAGAGTTTGAAACCTAAAACGATCTCTATTTCATATAGTATTATGAGCCATCCGAATTGTATGGTGTGAAATAATATTGATTTTGTGAATATGCTAAGGGTTGTTTGTACACGTGGTGTTAATATAGTTGATGTTTCAGTTATTAGGTGTAGTACTTTTGATCAAGAGGATGAAGTAGAATCTAATTGGGTAGATGTTGCACATGGTGAATGTGATAAGGTTGTGGATAATGAAAGGAATTCTCTCTCTAAGTTTTGCTCATACTAAGAAAATGTGTTATTATCTATTGGTTGGCAAAATAATATTAGAAGGTGGGACAAAAGTTTGAGGGTGGCATGGTTGAGTTCCGTACTATTTGTGCAAGTATGCTATTGAGGTTGGTTTTCAATTTATATATGTTAAAAATGACAAGCTAAGGGTTACTACAGAATGTGCATATAAGGAATCAAGGGCATGTTTGTGTGTAGCTGATTTTTCATGCTCCTTGGAGGGGTTTAGTCTCCTAGGGTACGATAGCCCTACAGTTCGGACTCCCGTGGTTCTGAATCTGGTTCCACAAGTGCAATGTGAAACAGAAAAACTAATGAGAATCCAAATCTGACAAATCTTAGAAAATTCATTAATCATTAGAGATGCCAAAAATTGACTGCATTGCTAGATTTCAGAGTCGTCACCTAAATATTTTTGAAAAATTTAGAAAACCCGTGACTCGTGCCAAAGTCTACTTGTCTGTCATAACCAAGGTGTCTTGGCTCGGGAACTTAGGTATGAGAGGGAAATGTCATGAATTGAGCACCCCACTCATCTAATCAAAGATCAGTGTAGACGTCCCCGAACGCCCTAGGAGGGAATCCCGTTTTGTTCATTGGGGCTTACTACAGTTCGGACTCAATTGTCACGGTCCTATATCTAATCTCGCAGAGTGCAATGCAAGACCGATGAATCATCAAAGAGTCCAAATCCAGCAAATCGTTTTGAAAAACAGATTTTTAGAAAGAAGTGCCAAACATGGACTGCTTTGCCAGATACAGAGTCGCCACCTAAATATTTTCTTTTAGGAGAATTTAGGAAACCCTGACTCGTGCCTCGTGCCTAAGGCCACGTGTCCGTCATCACCAAAGTTGCCTCGGCTCGGGAACTTGGGTACGATTGGGGGAAGGTCACTTCGTAAGCACCCCCGCTCGCCCGATCAAAGATCAGCCTCTACTAACTATGATATCGAGTTTTGAAAACATTATGTGCTCTTATTTCGGTTATTAGCCTAGAATTTCTATGTGATGCACACAGCATACAAGTATAGACTAGATTACCTAAGTTGGAACAAAGCATCGCATATCCGTTTGTTTTGAAAATTGATTGAAGTTTGCTACTCGCAAGTAGGCTAAAACATGGGTTTCGACGAATTATTCCAATTCAAACAACCCAACCTTCACCCACAGGCAGTCAGGCAGGTATATCACATACGCACATAGCCTCATGGTAAGCATGCTATCATGGCAGTCACTCACACACATGCAAGGATGCTAAAGCATAAATACATACCAAGTACTTCAAGTCAAAATAGAAACTAGTTAGTAATCAATGCATGATCCTAGTTCATGTTAAGATGGCTAATGCAACATATGCAAAAATACAACTAGGATAGGCTCGGCTATTCTAAACATGGCATATGAAATGCAACAGATAATATGTATTTAACTTGGAATTGAAATACAATGCAGTTAGCATGATGCGCCGAGCCCGGTGCATGCAATACAAATGAATGATGTAAACATGCGAGCATAAGTATGCTAATTGAAACATGCCCTTAACTAACCATCAAAAGCTAGTAAATAAAAGGGAGAAATACGTGGGGTTGGAAGACATACATCACACACATGCACGCTTATTACAACATTGCCCTCCTCGGAGGATCCGAATAATACAAAACCAGATGAATAATGAACTACAGCTAATTATTACACGACATTAACTAATTAACAAACTAGCTAAGTAAGCATGTAAACTAAATGAATGTGACTGCCTTGGCTCTGTTTTGAATGACAATGGATGCATGGATGCTCGAGTCGCCTCGTCGAGAAATCCATCGCGATGCCTTGGTATGCAATTTATTTCAGAAACTTGCACGAAACTCCAAGAGGCTGAAACTCCACTCTGGGAAGTTGTGGGGGGGCTGTCGACCAGCCAATGACATGGGAGACCACTACCAACCACCCCTTTGTGGTGGAGACCAAAAAGGGTGGTCGGCCTGCCAGAAAACCTGGTCGGCCGACCACTTTATGCCTCTAGATTCTGGTTTTCTGCAACACAAAGCAATAGGGAAGCATGGCAAGGTATTTTCAACAAGTGTGTGCTCGACCACTCCCCCCGTCATAGCATAGGCTCTAGGGAGTGTAACCCTCGATCCTCGGACCACCAATCACGCATCTCGATGCATGATGGCCGAGGAGTCGGATTGCACGACTTAATGTGACATGAATGCACAAATAAACATCTAAAGCCAACAACTCTATCATGGATAGTCAAGAGTGTCGGCGACCGGGAATCGATGCACGTTTCATCACTTGGAGTATGAAACGCTCCTCGTTTCCCGTGTTTGGGCTAACTCCTATCCCAAACATGATGAAACAAGAATGGCATGCTCAATGCAACTTCTAGCATGCAATCCTAATGTAATGCAACTAAATGATACAAAGATGCAAGGAATGACATGCAAGCATGCAAATGGCATACACAATGCTATAAACTACACATGGCATACTCAATGCACATGGACTAAACTATGGCATACGCAACGCACATGTGGAGACTAATAATGAAATGATCAAGGCATACACAATGCAATGGTCAATTATGTAACAACATGGACTAATATGGCATATGCAATGCAAGATGGACTTAAACCAAGATGGATGGGCCTCAGCCACATCCAAATCAGTGCCAAACATGATGAAATCAAAGCTACAAGACACACATAAGCAAGCAC